TGTGCGGCTCCCGTGTGTTACTACGTCCTAAATCCAGTGCGTTAATATGTTCTGAGTCCAGTGCGTTACTGAGTCCTGTGCATTACTAAGTCCAGAGCGCTACTAAGACTAAGACTAGAGTCCAGTGCGTTACTAAGTCCTGAGTCCAGTGCATTACTAAGTCCTAAGTCCAGTGTGTTACTATGTCCTGAGTCCAGTACGTTACTACGTCCAGAGCGATACTAAATCCTGAGTCCAGTGCATTACCAAGTCCTGAGTCCAGTGCATTACCAAGTCCTGAGTCCAGTGCTTTACTAAGTCCTGAGTCCAGTGCATTACTATGTTCTGAGTCCAGGGCGTTACTAAGTCCAGAGTCCAGTGCGTTACTAAATCCTGAGTCCAGTGCGTTACTAAGTCCTGAGTCCAGTGCGTTACTAAGTCCTGAGTCCAGTGCGTTACTAAGTCCTGAGTCCAGTGTGTTACTAAGTCCTGAGTCCAGTGCGTTACTAAGTCCAGTGCGTTACTAAGTCCTTAGACAAGTGCACTACTAAGTCCTAAAACCAGTGTGTTACTAAGTCCTGAGTCCATTGTGCTGCTAAGTTCTGAGACCAGTGTGTTACTAAGTCCAGATTCCAGTACGTTACTAAGTCCTGAGTCCAGTGCTTTACTAAGTCCTGAGTCCAGTGCGTTACTAAGTCCAGAATTCAGTGCATTACTAAGTCCTGAGTCCAGTGCTTTACTAAGTCCTGAGTCCAGTGCTTTACTAAGTCCTGAGCCCAGTGCAATACTAAGTCCTGAGTCCAGGGCTTTACTAAGTCCAGTGCGTTACTAAGTCCTGAGTCCAGTGCGTTACTAAGTCCTGAGTCCAGTGCATTACTAAGTCCTGAGTCCAGTGCGTTACTAAGTCCAGTGTGTTACTAAGTCCTGAGTCCAGTGCGTTACTAAGTCCAGTGTGTTACTAAGTCCTTAGACAAGTGCATTACTAAGTCCTAAAACCAGTGTGTTACTAAGTCCTGAGTCCATTGTGCTGCTAAGTTCTGAGACCAGTGTGTTACTAAGTCCAGATTCCAGTACGTTACTAAGTCCTGAGTCCAGTGCGTTACTAAGTCCTGAGACCAGTGCATTACTAAGTCCTGAGACCAGTGCTTTACTAAGTCCTGAGACCAGTGCTTTACTAAGTCCTGAGACCAGTGCTTTACTAAGTCCTGAGACCAGTGCTTTATTAAGTCCTGAGTTCAGTGCGTTACTAAGTCCTGAGACCAGTGCAATACTAAGTCCTGAGTCCAGTGCGTTACTAAGTCCAAGGTCCAGTGCGTTATTAAGTCCCGGGTCCAGTGCGTTACTAAGTCCAGAGTCCCACTCATATACTGTTCTGCATTGCTGTATAATGTGCTCCTGGGATTTGCAGTCCCCCTACAGCCAGTGCCATTCTGCATTTGAGTGTAAGCTCCTCTGTACAGAAACTAATGTGTCTGGCTCAGTGTTCTCTGTACAGTACTGTGGAATATGTCAGAACTATATAAATGTATAATAATAGTGTGAGGCTGTGGGGGGACCACAAGTACCAGCATGCTATTGCCAGTTGGGGGGGGGGGGGGGTAGCCATTTAGGCAGTACGAGGGCCCATGATTTCTAATGGCGGCCCTGATTCCTTCTACTAACCACAAATGTTACAGGTCACTCCTTCTACTGACCACCAATGTAAAGGGGCACCTTTCCTACTGACCACCAATGTAAAAGAGCATTTCTTCCACTGACCACCAATGTAATAGGCCACATCTTCTACTGACTACCAATGTAACAGGCCACATCTTCTACTGACTACCAATGTAACAGGGTATTCCTTCCACTGATCCCCAATGTAAAGGGGCATTCCTTCCACTGACACATAATGTAACAGGGCACTTCTTCCACTGACCACCAATGTAAAAGGGTATTCCTTCCACTGGCAACCAATGTAACAGGGCACGCCTTCTACTGACCACCAAGGTAAAGGGGCACCTCTCCTACTGACCATCATTGTAAAAGTGTATTCCTTGAAAGACATAAAAAAAGCAAAACACGCTTAATATGTCATTACCAGCCAGTACCCCAAATGCGGTTGGAAAAATGCTTGTTTTACCTCCGAATTAGTGCGCATTAAAACACGCAGAAATGCAGAGAAAAAAAGTGTAGAACAAATGTCGCAGATTTTGCTACATGCACGCATTTGTTGCGCGCTCAGGACTCCATTGCAATCAATGGGGACACTCAGCAAATACCGGAAACAAAAGCACACGAATGTGACGCGCGTTCGTACTACGCTCAGGTGTGAATTGGGCCTTACACTCTTTAATTTAAGTTATCTTTTGTGCTATATTCAATTGCTTGGTTAAATATTCACTATACACTGGATGATATGTAAACTTTCACCCATCACCTCGGTAAGGAAACCAACAGTGGTGCGGAGAGGGAGATCGTCTCATCTATAATCATCACAAGTTCGTTTATATTAAATACTATTATGAAATAATTCAATCTATACATCGAATAGTTGATCTTGTCTAGAATATCAGCGGGTCACATCCCAGTCCCCCCCCACCCTTCCGTATAACTTCCATAAACTCCGTAAAACTTCCATAGTAGCTGGACTGCTGCCCATCCACACTGGGGGCGGATCCATCTATAGGGGTGGGATTTGACGCCGCGTACACAGCTGTGGGAGGGGCTCGACAAGTTGGTTGCCAGGAGATAAAGTTTAGGGCTGGAAGTGGTTTCGGATGTTGCTAGGCGACAGCGAACGCTCTCCATGAAGGCGAGGGGTGCCAGAACCGAAGCTGCGGCCCGGTACAGACACCTCCGTTCTTACAGGTGACAGTCAGTCAGAAACCGGATAGGAAAAAGAAAAAACACTTGAAGAGAGTGAGAAAAGAATTCAAGTTAGTTCACGCGTATAATAAAGTCTCATATGTAGCATCTTCTGCCACATAGTGATCATTTATAATCATTCTTAGCTTTATGGGGATTTGGGGAGGGGGATTTGAGCATTTGGGGAAGGGGTTTAGGAGGGTTAGGTTAAGGGGCATTGGTGTAAAGGGAAGTGGGTGCGCTTCCAGCAGGCATAAGGTACCAGTGGGGGCATAAAGTTAAAGGCGAGTAAGTGGAGGTAAGCGTGCACAGGCTTGGGGAGAAAGGGGTTAGAGGAGCAGTGGTATGGGGGGTATGCAGTGGTGAGAGGCGGGGTACATGTGCAGTGGTGAGAAGGGGGTGATGAGGGCAGGAATGGGTGAGATCATAGAGATGTAGTGTAGTGGGGGTGAGGCTTGTACAAGCATATAGTGAAGGCATTGAGGAGCATGCATAGGTGCAGTTGTACCCTGGTCGGGCACAGGAGCAGTGGTGAGAGGCAGGGCACAGGAGCAGTGGTGAGAGGTAGGGTACAGGAGCAGTGGTGAGAGACGGGGTACAGGTGCAGTGGTGAGAGGTGGGGTACAGGTGTAGTGGTGAGAGGCAGGGTACAGATGCAGTGGTGGGAGGCGGTGTACAGGTGCAGTGGTGAGAGGCAGGGCACAGGAGCAGTGGTGAGAGGTAGGGTACAGGAGCAGTGGTGAGAGACGGGGTACAGGTGCAGTGGTGAGAGGTGGGGTACAGGTGTAGTGGTGAGAGGCAGGGTACAGATGCAGTGGTGGGAGGCGGTGTACAGGTGCAGTGGTGAGAGACGGGGTACAGGAGCAGTGGTGAGAGGTGGGGTACATGTGCAGTGGTGAGAGGTGGGGTACAGGTGCAGTGGTGAGAGGCAGGGTACAGATGCAGTGGTGGGAGGCGGGGTACAGGTGCAGTGGTGAGAGGCAGGGTACATGTGCAGTGGTGAGAGGCGGGGTACATGTGCAGTGGTGAGAGGTAGGGTACAAATGCAGTGGTGAGAGGCGCGGTACAGGTGCAGTGGTGAGAGGTGAGGTACAGGTACACTGGTAGGAGGCAGGGTAAAGTAAACCGCTTTTTAATGTACCCCTAGACAAAATGAGCATTTATCCCTATATCCCTTGCAGTGCAGGGGCTCTCGTGTGGTCTTTAGATTTCTGCTCTCTTGAACAGTTAAAGTGACATTAATCCCTCAGATTTTTTAACATAAACCAATACTATAATGTGCGCCTTACTGTAATCCATGGTTGTTTCCCTTCTCTTTGCTGCTCTTCCTTTTAAATCCGTATCTGTTCTCATGCTGGGCAGAACTTCTGTTTTGCAGCAGACTGCCTTGTCTCTGGAATGGATACATGGCGTCTGTGTGCAGGTTCACAACCTGAGCCAGCACTACAGGAAGAGGCACTCAGCTGCAAAGGGAAGCTCTCCCCCAGCATGAGAAGACATGAGGATTTAAAAGGAAGAGCAGCAAATAGAAGGGAAACAACCATGGATTACAGTAAGGCACACATTACAGTATTGGTTTATGTTAAAAAATCTGAGGGTTTAATGTCACTTTAAGCTGGCTGAATAATCTGCAGTATCTGACCCATTTCTGGGTGTTTTATTCCTGGGTCACCCACTGTAGTGCTGTGGTGCCCTCAACTGCTACATCTCCGCTGTATAATAGCGGAAGGTAGATGGAACCACAACATGTGGAGAGGAAAGCAAAAATCAAACACACCCAGATGTGTTGGATGCTGAAGGTTCAGCTGGAGCTATACAAGAGAGTGGAAATATAAGGAACAGGCAGCAGGAGAGTAAGGTAAGTATAATTCTTTTGGTTTTGTAGGCTTTGTTTGTTTTTTTCATGCTCAATGTTTTTTATTTTTTTATTTTCATCCCACAACAGTACAGGTCATACAATATGACAAGTAGTTTACGTAGGGAGGTAAAATGTTCTCAGAGAAGGGGAATCAAGAATGGTAAAATAAGAGTACAGAAGATAACAGGCTTTGTAAGTAACATTAGCAGCTAATATGGAAAAGGGGGAAAGGGAATATGGGTCCAGGGAAAGAGGGTAAAGAGATGGTCGTCAACATATTTGGGCTCACAGATGTAGTAGGTCTGCGTCAAAGCCAGGGGTAAATAAAAGCTCTGGGTCCACACAGTGTGTCCTATTGCTTTTGCTGGTCAATTATGAAGTGAAAGATTCAGTATAGGTGATCTGACTACCAGACAGACAGCTTCTACATTCCAGAGGATCTCCACTGTCTCCTTGGTATGTAGTGTCATATTGCAGGATTGTGAATTGAAGCCCCACACTCCGTTTAATAGCACAGGTAAATTTTTTCTCGATATAGGGGGGAGGGGACAGTATAGATATAGCCAATGCATTTTGGGGCTCATACAAATACCCACTTAATCAGGGTCAGTCCAGTGTGTGAGAATAGCCTAGGCTGCTAAATCCTGCTGAAGGGCTCTATGCATTCTCACACTGGACAAACCCCGATGAAGGCAATATTGAGCCCCTAAAAACATGTTGGATATTTCTACACTGTCCAATCAAACCCATATCGAATAAAGATGTATCTTGACTATTAAACAGTGTGGAACTTTAATGAATAATCCTGCAATCAGAAACTGTTATAAAGAACGTAACAGGTATGTGTTGTCACTTTCTTCAGATGACAGCCAGGTAACTGGCATTTCCCAAAGGAGAGGTCAGCAGTGACAGGCCACTTGTCTCTTTCGGGACAGGCTTTGTTTATGCATACATGATCTCATTTTCTGATTATCCACATGGGTAACAGACAGGTACAAGTTGCTTTGTACTTGTAGGCTCAAAAGTTGCATCGCAAGGTATTCTGTAGTAAATATGTGTGAATTTACAGATATGCGGTGCTTCTTAGGTAAATCACTCTATAAAAACAACCATCTAAGTGAGCAATGAGGCCGCTAAAATTATTCACAAATAGTGAAATAAGATTGACCTACTAAATTGAGAAATCTGTGACTGGAATTAATGCAGAATGAATAGGATTATCCCAACAGGGCAGGTTTCTATGAGATGATCAGCAGTAACTGCAAGGAAAATTAGATTTAACAGTGCATTAAATTGCGTATTTAGGAAGCATCTACCAGTAGATTATTTCCAAATACCGAGTCATGATTCTGAAAATGAAAAGCAAGGCTGGTGGAAGAAAGCTAATGCTTTTGTTAATTTATTATACAGGAAGATATAGAAGAGATGTCAGATGGAAGGGGGCATTTGCATTTGAGACTCAATTATGCAGAAGAGTTGAGAATCAAGAAAGAGCTGGAAAGATTGCTTAAGCCTCCTCAGAGGACTGTCAAGCAGGACACGGTGGAATTAAGGAGTAGCTCACCCCTGTCTCTAATGCCGGGTCCTGCTTTATCCCAATTTAAACAGCTTTATTCTACCTCACGTCCAAGATCTAAGGTCACAGGCAGACTAGCTCAACCCACTTGCCAATCTCCATCAGCCTTTGATCTGCTTCAAAACTCCATGGCTGACAGTATTGGAAAAGAAGATCAGAAAGTTGGTGGATTAGTAAAAAGTGCTGTGCCTTGGCCCAAAGATGTCACACAAGAGTTAAAAGAAGAGAAATGTCTGCAAAATGGTCATTCATCATTCATCCATGAACATTTTGTGGAGACTGACTATAGAGTACAGAGACCTGCAATTGCATCAGTGCTTGGGACCACCAAGCCTATATCAATTTTCAAGCGACCAAAACCACCTGCAAAGATCAGGTCTACCATGTCTCAAAGTTCCCCTAAGCCACGCCCTTCTTTGAAGCCTACAGCTTTACAGAAGAAAGAGACACGAATACAGAAGGCGGCTCAAGCTCCCTCCCGCAAGATAAGGAAGGCTGTTGATAAGATATCAAGTGAGGACAGTGATGACAGTACTTCTTCCTCAAGCTCTGACTCGAAGGACAGTAATGAGTCAGAAAAAAGAACAAGATACACTAGCAAGAAAAAGAAAAACATTTCAAAGAAAATGAACACATTGACTACACCAGACCAAGAAAATGTTGATGTTGGCAATTTAACTGATAGTGTACTTTTGCCAGAGCAACTCTCTAAAGCTACTTTTGTGACTGCTGTATTTGAAAACCATGAACGTGATGGAAGCACTCAACAAACTGCAGAAGGAGTAAATACCACATACTTAATTCCTCCAGTGAAGGCCACAGCTAGGTCGGTGGATGAAATAATTGCATCACTACGTTCTCCACAGACACATACAGAGTCAGATATGATGATTAAACAGTTAATGGAGAGTGTTTTGGGCCTTAACTATAACATCACATTTGGGGTAAGTTTGTCAAAATACAACATCTCAAGGCTTTATTTATTAAGAATGTACAAAATGCAATATTGTGCAGTGGCCCATAAAAGCCCCAAAAATTAGTTTTCATTAAAAATTATTGAATGCATGGTGTCTCTAAAAGTGATAAATAAGCAGTAGAAAATTAAAGCAAGCACCCAGGGGTACTCTATTATGCATATCCCGTGGTTGACCTTGGGCCCAAACTAAGATGCATAGTCAATGATCAAAAGTGACACTCTGGCCATCACTTGAATACAGGACGTGGTCAGCTTTTGAATGATATAAAGCCCAGGGTTTCAGGGATTCAGGGATATGCCAAGATAACTCTTACATACCTTGCAGAATCTCCTGGGATCCCTGAATCTTGCAGTTATCCTGCAACTCTTGACTAGCTGCAATGGTTGACCTTTGAGCTACCTCATCTCAGCTTATGTTCCTCACTGTTGACCAGCAACCCATCTTAGTTATGGCCCAATAGTCACAGGAGGACGATGAATTCAGGATCTGCCATGGGGTTTGTATAACAGAGTTTTATGGGTTTTGTAAATTCCCACAACACTCTATACAATGTTTAAGAGTAGACACGAGCATCTCTAGTGTGCTTCCAATGTCTGCTCCTTGTTTAACTCTTTTAAAGTGGCTGTATGGTCACTTCAAAGCAAAAGTCTGGGGAAATATCAAACACAATATTTAAATCTAATTATGTATTTATTAAAAAAATCAGTGGGCATATATACTTCTAAAATACTGCTAGTATAATTATTTAAAATGGATTTTATGTTAATTTCTTAATAAAGTACGGCAGACTAAGCAATGTAAGTCAATCAGGTTTTGAGGCATTGTACAGTGCTGTCATGTTAACATATAACCCCCAATTCTAAAAAATTTGGGACGCTGTGTAAAATCTACATAAAAACAGAATGCAATGATTTGCAAATCTCAAAAACCCAGATTTTATTCACAATAGAAAATAGAAAACATATCAAATGTTTAAACTGAAAAAATGCCCCATTTTAAGAAAATAATAAGGTGATTTTAAAATTGATGCCAGCAACGCATCTCAAAAAAGTTGGGACAAGGCCATGGTGTAGCATCCCCTCTTCTTTTAACAACACTCTGTAAACGTCTGGGAACTGAGGAGACCAGTTTCTGGAGTTTTGGTAGAAGAATGTTGTCCCATTCTTGCCTGATATAGGATTCTAACTGCTCAACAGTCCTGGGTCTTTGTCCTATTTTTCGTTTCAAGATGCGGCAAATATTTTCAATTGTTGAAAGGTCTGGACTGCAGGCAGGCTAGTTAAGCTCCTGGACTCATCTACTATGTAGCCATGCTGTTGTCATAGATGAAGTATACATTTTAGCATTGTCCTGCTGAAATATGCAAGGCCTTCCCTGAAAAATACGTCATCTGGATGGGAGCATATGCTTCTCTAAAACCTGGATATATCTTTCAGCATTGATGGTGCCTTTCCAAATGTCCAAGCTGTTCATTCCATACACACTAATGCACCTCTATACCATCAGAGATGCAGGCTTTTTACTGAGTGCTGATAACAAGCTAGAAGAGGGGGACACTGTTCCCATGGTTGCCAAAAGAGTGTCAAATTTCGATTCGTCTGACCACAGAACAGTTTTGTTTTCCATTTTGGATCAGACCATTTAAAATAAGCTTTGGCCCAGAGGAGACGGTGGCGTTTCTGGATCATGTTCAGTTATGGCTTCTTTTTTGTATGATAGAGCTTTAACTGGCATTTTTGAATGGTATGGAGAACTGTGTTCACATGCGGTGATTTTGGAAGTATTCCTGAGCCCATGCATGGATGTCCATCACAAAATCATGTGGGGCTGCAACTAATGATTATTTTCATAATCAATTAGTTGATCGATTATTTTTTCTATTAATCGGATAAAAAAATAAATTAATACCACCCTTAATTTAAAAAAAAAACCACAAATGCAGTGTTACAAACATAAAGTTTACTTCAGAATAAAACTGCATGCACAATTTTTGCAATCACACTGCAATTTACACTCCCACAACAGAATTTGTCAGGCCAAAACCGAAACAACTTTTTTCCCTCCTTTTTATAATTTAAAAAAAAATAATTGTATTGTAAGCACATGACGCTTGAATAGCTTCATCCAGGGAATGACAGCTGCCAGTGGCATGATTATTTCGCAGATGGCAGCTGAATGTAAATACAGCAGGTAGTGGGCTGGTGCAATAGCCAGCTTGCTATTGGCTATTTCAATTTGCAATACCCAATAGCAGGCTGGCTATTGTACCTGCCCACTGCTTGCTGTGCCCTCCTCCCAGCGTGGAGGAGAGAGCTAGAGGATCCAACCAACCGATAATGAGAATAGTTGACAACTATTCTCATTATTGATTATCGATTAATGGATTTGTTGGTTGCAGCCCTAGAATCATGCCTGTTTTTAATGCAGTGCCACCTGAGATCCTGAAGATCACAGGCATCCAATATTGCATTTGAGCCTTGTCCCTTGAAAACAGAGATTTCCCCAGATTCTCTGAATTTTTTGATGAAATTATGTACTGTAGATGATGATATATTTAAAGTTTTTGCAATTTTATGTTGAGGAACATTATTCTTAAAGTGTTTGACAATTTTTAGATGCAGCTTTACAGATTGTGGACCTCTGCCCATCTTTACTTCTGAGACACTCTGACTCTCTAAGATGCTCTTTTTATACCCAATCATGTTACTGACCTGTTGCCAATTATTTGCAAAATATTCTTCCAGCTCTTCCTTGTAAAGGTGCCCATACACCTTGCAATCATCGGACAAACATTTTATGAGTTTTGCAAATCATTGCATTCTGGTTTTAATGTAGATTTTACACAACTTTTTTGGAATTGGGGTTGTATTTTAGGCTCTGTAGATGTAGGGTAAGGCCTCTTTCACATGAGCTGATCAGGAGAGGATCCATGCATGGATCCTCTCCTGACCACAGCAGTACGGAGCGGATGGCACCGCTGTGTCACCGGAGGCAGGGGGTAACCAGATGTGAACGAACGCTCATCCATTTACACACGGCTGCCACTAGACTTGCATTGGGCATCCAATCAGGTCTGGACTGGATCGGAGTGGCCGTGTGAAAGGGACCTAAAGGTGGTTGTCTGCCTGTCTCTGTTTTTCAAGTATGTAGTGAGTGAAGTCAGAACTTGAAGTTGATAGTAAGTGATTAAGAAAGTCTTAGTAGCACTTGATCACCATTACAGCCAGACAGATTAGCAGTCAAAGCCTGTGCGCTTGTCATCACAGGTTGCCGATCACCACTGAATTTTGATACTTGATTATTAGGCCGTTATGGGTTAACACATTTTTATACATTATACACAAGACAGAAGTCACCATTTTGAACCTTTGATTTTGCTGTCATATTCTCAAGTCAAATGCTGTGAGTTCCACAACTTGAATTGCAGTTCATTCTTATGAAGACTTCATTGAGTGCTACATCACTAAATCTCTGAGCTTGAAGTCCAAGGGATGTGCAGGGAACGCAGCAGAATTTCTACCTGCTGGATCTCGTTGCTGCCACTCCAGAATTGGAATGTCAACGTTATTTAACAGGCCAGGTTCTGTTGTATTTTTTCAGAAACCAGAAGAAGAGTGGAATGTGACACATGAGCCAGAGATGCCACAAATAGTCGTGGAAGATCAGGAACGGTCACCTGGGGAAAATCTATCTTCACAACAGGTAACAAGTTTCCCATGAGAAAGGTGAGATTCTACCAGAAAGTGATGGAGTAGAGAGTGGATATGTGATCCTCATGTGGAACTATTCTGCCTTTACTACATGCATATCAGAGGTTTGCAGTCAAAGTATATAAACTGTGCTCCAGACATCATTGAAGTGCACTAATCCACCACACTGTCTTTTGTCACTAATCTTGTTATTCTGGAACACACCTGCATGTGATCTTGGAACACCCTTCTGTCTGCTTCTCACCCACAGAAAGCCTGATGTGAAACAAAAGCTTTGTGGGACCTGATAGTTTCACTTTAAGGTGTCCTGTAATTCGTTCACAGACTGAGCTGTGCAGGACTGATAATATCATTTAGGACAGGGGTGCTCATTAGGTAGATCGCGATCTACCAGTAGATCGCAAAGCGAACACTGGTAGATCGCGATCGGCTCACTGACCTGTGTCCTGTCCTCCCGCGGTGCGGGAGAGGAGACTTGGGAAGCTGCTGCAGTGGAGGTAAGAAAAGACAGACATCAGATAGATAGCAGAGAAAGTGAGAGAAGAGACAGCAGAGAGAGAGAAGAGACAGCAGATAGAAAGAGGAGAGAGAGAAGAGAGGGCCGGTTCACACCACAAAGTCTGCGCTCCAGAGTGTTCGGCCTCTGGAACGCATTGGAATGCAAGCCAGCCGGCTCCCTGCGTTCAGGGACGGGAGGGGGCATGGCGGTGCACTGAAGTCAATGGCACCATAGCCACGCCCCCGCCTTCAGTCTGATCGCCCACACCCGGAACATAGGCACATTAATGCCTGCGTTCAGGTCCAGCGTGATCTGCAAAAATGCAGGGTTTATGCAGATGGCACTGGACGGGAACACAGGCACTAATGTGCCTGCATTCCTGGTGCGGCGATTGCACTGGGGGCGTGGCTGCGGTGCCATTGACTTCAATGCACTGCCACTCACCTCGCGGTCCTGAATGCAGCTGTTTTTGCGTTGGTAGATCTCATTGAGCTCGTCATTTGAAAAGTAGATCTCCAGATGAAAAATTGTGGGCGCCCCTGATTTAGGATATCAGTGCAGCACAGGCAGGAAGTTATTATCAGGATTTTTGGCAGCATCATATTTTGTTTTGCACTAATCAAACTGATATAAGAAAATACTTTCAATGGTACATTTAATGTGTATGTGAACCCTAATGAACATCTCTTATTTGCTCTCTTTTGGTATTTTTTTTTAACCACTGGAATCATTGTGTTATACTTGTTTTATAAATGCAAAAAAAAAAAAAATTCAGAAATTTATAAGAGTCTGCTAAGCTCTCCCTAAGCTCTCCTAGTTTTTATCTTGGATTGCAGAATGGTAAGCCTTTATGTTGTGGAAATCTGAAAGCTAGAGTGGCTGAGTAGTTTAGCAAAAGGCACTGGGCAGGGCTGACACCACTCAGACTGTCAGCCCCAACAGGACTTAAAAGCTGAGTGCATTTTGATCAGATTACCAGGTCTTTAATTTATATATTAACTTTTTTTTTTTTGTATACACGGCAGAAGCTAGTATTGCATGAAAGAACACTGTATACGTATTTGGAAATGAAAGATTTGAAGCTGGCAGACATTGATTAATGGACACTTCATTTTAAGCATTTGTCCAGTTTTGACAGATGGTGTATCAGCTCATCACAAAGGCCCATTACTTCCTAGATTCTAATGTGTGTGTATTTTACATCTAGCCTTCACTGTGACTTTAGTATTTCACAGAGGTGAATTTGTATGTTTAGTGAACAGTGACCTACATTACTAATTATATTATTTTAAAAGCAGCTATGTGTGTCTTGTGTAGCTGACAGATCTTATTTAACATAAAATGCAAGAAAGCATATGTAAAGCAGTTTCCCATAATTGTTTAGTGATGACTTACCTGTTAGGCCTGGTGTATCTTCTCAGTTATGTGCCCTGGTGCCAGAAAATCACAGAGCCCTAGTAACACCATGACATTACAGCGTTTGCCACAGTGGCATAATCTTTGGACTTACATGACTCCATTGTGCATTAAAGAATGTCCTCACTTAGTTACCATTGTTGCTAAGATGCATCATGGAGCAGAAGTAGGTATGAGAAACATTTGACCTGAGACTAGCTCTCTTAAAGTGCCCATACACTGCACGATTCTTGTACGAGAATCGCGGGAAATCCCGCGATCATACGAGAATCGTGCAGTGTGAAAGAAGACGTGCGACCATTTCTAATGCACGGTCGCACGTCTTTTGTCTAAGGAGCATGCTAGAAAACCAGCCGAACATCGTACGATTTTCGGCTGGTTTGAATGATGCTCGGGAGACAAATGCCGAATGGGCCGGTGTGCGCACGCGCACACTGCCCGTTCAGCATTGCGGTCATCGGAAGCCCGCCCCTCAGGGGGGCGGGCTTGCGATGATCGCAAGTACGATCTGCCTCTCCAAGATGGGCAGATCATACTTTTTTTAATTACTTTACAACCCTCGCAAGATTAAGGTCTTGCGATGGTTGTAAAGTGTATGGCCACCTTTAGATTAGATGTGATGTTAAACTAGTGTTTTTAGGGTTGCATGCATCCCACTTACCTCTTCCTTGCAGCCTTCAGACAAGAATTTAAATGATATATAAAGCAACATTTTTCTTAGATAGAGAAGGAAAGCTAAACTACTGTCAGTTATTTTTTCGCTGCCTGTGCCCTTGCTAGGAAGATTTACTCTCTGTACTTGTCCTGGTTACCATTGCCACTGAGAAAGGATGTGATGCAAAATCTAAGATTTTAGAGTTGTCTCCAGATAAAGAAATCTTCCAATGGGGACACCTGTATGAGTTGACATCTAAAGGTGCCCATACACTGCACGATTCTCGTACGAGAATCGTGCAGTGTATGGAAGGTGTGCGACCGTTTCTACTGTACGGTCGCGCGTCTTCCGTCGAACCAGCAGGCTAGAATAGAAAACCCGCCGGGAATCGTACGATTCTAGGGCGAGTTAGGGGCCTGCAGTTTGACAACTGCCGAACGGGCCGGTGTGCGCACACAGCCCGTTTGCAGTCATCGTAAGCCTGCCCCTCATTGCAGTCATTGTAAGCCCGCCCCTCAGGGGGGCGGGCATGCGATGATCGCAAGTACCATCTGCCTGTCCAAGATAGGCAGACCGTACGCTTTTTAAAGTACTTTACAACCCTCGCAAGACAAAAGTCTTAAGAGGGTTGTAAAGTGTATGGGCACCTTTAGAGGGAATTTACCTTTGCTTAAAGGTGCCCATACACCTTACAATTATCTGGAGATTTTTGTCTGCGATTGCGTTTTCATCAGAAAATCTGCCAGTTGATGGGGAGTGCACAACTTCAATTACTGTACAACTGGCAGATTTTTGTCTTTCAAGCAGGCTAGAAAACTTTTGTCTAATTGGATGAAAATTGACAGGTTAGTGGCATTGCTCAAACGAAAATCTGTCCTTTCGATCGATGAAAATCAGCCAGGTGGTGGTGCTGACGAGCGTTAATTGCGAACTACATTGGTCTGTGCATGATGGGCTAGTTGGAAGAAAATTGAACAAGGGTGAGATGTCTGGACAGCAAAAGATGTACAATGGTTGTAAGGTGCATGGCCACCTTTAGAGAGATTTCCTCTCACTTCCTGTTCTGTCTCAGGGACAGGAAGTGACAGGAAATCGACTCAACACTATAAAGACAGGAAAAAACTGTTGGGTTTTAACCAATTTTTACTTTGTCCAAAATTAATGAACAGTTTCAGCTTTAGATATACTTTAACATTAGAGGATGCCTCCATTTATCTTTTTAAGGATTGGTTTGTAGGATTAATGTTCTTAGAGTACAGTGATTTAAAATACATAATTAATTGGTTAATATATAAAGCCATTCAAATTCTAATCCCTATTAAAATACAGTTTTTCAGTCGTGCAAAGCCTTCAGTAGAACTAATGATGGCCTCCTTCTCAAGTTATCCTTCTTAAATCTTGAACTAAGTTTCATTTCAGTGTGCCAGGCCTGGCTTAGGCATTACATATTCCCATTAGACTTTGAATGGTCTTACTCCCAAAGTAGCAGTGGGTGTTAGTCAAGGGAACCTATATTGGTGGATTAATGGAAAGCATGTGCCGACTTGAGCATTACATAGAGTTACAATTCAAGCCCCTGTCCCTCTGCACTGAATGCCCCCCACATTTAATTTGCAGCCTAGTCTTCCTCATGATGCTCTGGGTATGCTTGAAATCACTGTAGAGCCTAAACTCCATTAAAATATTATAATAATTGAAAGTTTGATCTTTTCCATGCAGCGGAGCCTTGTGGATCAAGATGTCACATTGACTGATAGCAAACTGTCTGTAGAACTATCTTTCACGGACAAAGACGAGGAAGAGACAGTTCAGCAAATATCTATCTCGACCCAAGAGAATCCTATCACCCCAGTGCTGGAAGAGGAAATTACATATGAAGAAGCTAAGCAAGTACTCAGATCTGCTGCACAGGTATGAGACTTTACACCTTTAGGCTGGATTCACACCTGGGCGTTACTATAGGCGCGTTTTTTCAGCTCGTTTTTAGCACGTTTTTTAGTTCAGTGAAACGCGCGTTAGACGCTCGTTTTTATACCTCCCGAGCGGTATGATTTTTAAAAAATGTTTCCTTTTTTTCCTCTATCTTACATAGTTACATAGTATTTGGGGTTGAATAAAGACATACGTCCATCAAGTCCAACCCATATAGGTCCACGCATCATCTCATTCTTAGGGATACTGGTATCCCTGGATATTACGGTCCCTCAAGAAATTGTCCAAACGTTTCTTGAACAAATCACGCCAATTCCATCTTATATTTTATAAATGCCCGTCTCTTTGCCTTAACATGTAGTTTTACAGTTTTATTTAGCCATATCGGTTTAGTCTTTGATCTTTTGTTTTTGTTACCCAAAAAAACATCTGTTATCTTTTTTTCGGGGGTTTTTTTTTTGTTAACTTTCAAACTTCCTGTCGGTTTCGCCCCCCTGAAACGCGGATGTGCGCAAGGGACGGAACCCGGAAGACGGCAGCGGCGGGGGTCGCGGACAAGAAGGCAGCGGCGGGGATCGCGGACAAGATAAGACCTACGCTGTATTCCCGAGTGTGGCTCGGGGTTAACGCTTTGTTAACCCCGAGCCACACTCGGGAATACCAATGGATATGCGCTGAAATACGCCCCAAAGAAGCTCCTGTACTATTTCGGGCGTAGGGCGTTTTTCAGCGCGTCAAAGCGCGCTGAAGTATGCCCAGGTGGGAACCATGCCCATAGGAGTTAATAGGATTTCACTGCTTGAGCGTTTTTCAGCGCTTCGATCAGCGCTGAAAAACTCCCAGGTGTGAACCCAGCCTCAAGCTGTGCATACACATAAACATTGCTAAATAGCCAATTCCAGGTCCGCTTGAAAGCATAGAACTGCAGAATTATGAGTTGTAATGTATGTTGATTTATAAATGTAGCAGTGTGAGTATATGTTGATAAGGTAGATATATGTTGTAGACAAATTTGTATGACATGATTGCAAAGCTGGTTGTGTGCATGTAACCATGGCTTGAATCTTTGACAACAGGGAGCATTCAATATATGCCTGAGAATGGAGGGATATTCAGTTGTAGTCATTCATACTTAGCTGAAGAATATGTATGGCAGCACTGTAATAGACAACAATTATGTGGGAATAGGGAAGGAAGAAATTGTCCAAGGAGTGCTGCCATCCACTTTGCTTACTGATGACAGTTGCCACGGAATTGATTTAAAGTGATTAGCCCATTACTGGCCAAGAAATTGGCAATGCTCTGTAGGATTTACATTTTCTATAACAGATGAAGCCATGGTTCAGTCTGATCTGTATAACATCAGGATAAGGAATTCCCCAGCACTCCATAATGTCCATTTAGCTAGTTAAATTTTAACACATGATATCACATAGGTAATATAGGCAACATTTCAGGACCATGTAGGGTCCTCTTCCTCAGGGTAACACTGTGTTGCCCTGAGGAAGGGGTACTATGTGGCCCAAAACGTTGGTTATATGACCTGTGCGACATTGTGTGTTTATAAATAAACTGCCCTAATGCACATTACTGTGCTGGCGACTTCCGATTTCATGATGTGAATTGTGCAGGACGCCATCTGTTACTGCAATTTCTAACACCCTTTTGATCTTCTTCTAACAATGCTAAGATAGTGCATCTTAGGACATAGACTTTTTGCATGTTCTTTATAGCAGCCACCCCCCTCCCCTTTATGGCATTTTGTATTTTAATATTTGAATACACCTCCATACCCCCTCCCACCACAGAACATAGGGAGGCTTTGATTATGCGATCCAGTGCGTTCATGTCATGGAATTGTGATGTGAACGCACTGGATGGTGTGATCGGGCCTTTAGCTTTGATTATGGCACGCATTTCACCAAGATCTTGTAGTAAAGAGGGGAGGGTCAGACCACTGTGTAATGGGGTTAGGGTCTGGACTGGTCTTAGTGGTGGCCAATCCATGTGTGAAAATTATGCTCCCTGAACCACTCACAATTTGAGCCCAATGAATCCTGGCATTGCCATTTTGGAATACGCTTGTGCAATCAGGGAAACAAAATCCATTGATGGAAAAACGTAGTTATTTAGTATATTCAGGGAGGCAGCTGACCTAATTTTTTGGGGACATAACGTTCCTTAAAGGAGAACTATGGGATTAAGGCTTTTCCCCATAGTTCTCCTTAGGGTAACGGGAGGACACAAACTAGAGTCCTCCCATCACCCTAGGCTCAGTATACCGTGAGCTGTAGCTCGCGGTATACTGAGACGCCGCAGCTGAAGCGGATCCCGACAATTGTGACGGGATCCGCTCAGCTGCGTGACTGACAGCTGGCTCTGCCTATCTAGAGTCAGCTGTACCCACCCCTCCCCCGTCCGTTCCGCC